AAAATTATATTACAAATATATTACAAAATATGGTTTATTAAGAAATATATTACAAAGATATTAAAAATATATTAAAATATATATTACAATTTTTGATTTAAAAAGTAAAGAGTGTACAAATTTTATTAAACATATATGACAAAATTTAATTACTAAAAAATATATTCAAAATATATTCAAAAATATTTTGAAAATATCATATAAAATATATTTAAAATATATTACAAAATAGATTTATTAATTTCAATATATTTTTTACTCAATACGAATTGCTCAATTCTCATTTGTGAACAATATATTAATTACATAAAAAATATATTTCAAACTAAATTTGGGAAGGAAGGTAGATATATTATCTATATATATTAACAACAAATTTTATCCAAAATATATAAAAATTATATTACAAATATATTACAAAATATGGTTTATTAAGAAATATATTACAAAGATATTAAAAATATATTAAAATATATATTACAATTTTTGATTTAAAAAGTAAAGAGTGTACAAATTTTATTAAACATATATGACAAAATTTAATTATTAAAAAATATATTAAAAATATATTCAAAAATATTTTAAAATTATCTTAAACAAAATTTCGTAAAAAATATTTTCAACAATATATGTCAGTAAAATTTTTAGTAAACATATATTAAAAAAAAATTATTAGAAAATATATTAACAATATATGCACAAATCTAATAAAAAATATATTTCAAAATATATTACCAATATACCTAATTTCATGATGCACAATACTTTTACAAACAATGTAGTTCGTTCATGGAATAAAATATAAACTTGCGTTAGTCTTTGTATGTGTTCATGTTGATTCATGTAAATTTAATTGCAATTTAAAGCATAGCATGGCGTCGTTCACCTCTATTGCAACTTCCAATACATGGCCACGACGAATGTGTGCCTGTGGACATGGCCCCTGTATTGTTAAGATTTCCAGGTCCACCAAAAATCCAGGGCGTCCGTACTTTGTCTGTCCCCGCCCTGTGGTGAGTGACCCATTCTGTACCGGTCATGGTTGTATGAATATTAACAACCCATGAAACTAATAGTTCCATAATTTTGACTCATCAATCCTGTGTCAGTTGGATTGGTTGGTGTGAAGAACGAAGGCAAGAGAACCAAGGCTATGCGTCACCCGGAGATGAAATTGCCATGCAATTGCGGGCTGATGTCATAGACATTCAACAATCCTTGCGTGTCCTTAAGACCATTGTGTATGTGCTCTGCATTGTCGTTGTCATTTTGTTGTGCCGTATGTAAGCACCGTTACCATGCTGTCAGTATGTACAAACACGTTTGTATGTTGTCAGTATGTTGTTAGTATATAGTTAGTATGTTTGTAGTATGTTGGTAGTATGTTGTCGCATATGGGAGCCGTAATACTAACTATCAAATTTTTTGTGGCCACTACTAACTTCCATGGAACCTGTTTACGTACGTTAGTAATTTTCAATGGGTATATGCAAATTTAACTTTAGCATCATATATCTCTGTTTGTTGTTATTAATGTGTCACGGCTTATGCATGTGTATATAACAACCAAATTTGTGATGGTAATCTTTTGTAACCGTACATTAGTAATGGCTTCCACACGTACTTCGCCGCGTAACCACTCGAAAAGCAAAGGCATTGTCAGTGACAAGTTAGGCAGTCTTGAAGAGACACAAAATCAGTTAAGCCACAAGGCCTCATGGGACAGTAACTTAGTCCGAGTTTTCCTCCAGTTGATCGCAAATGAGATTAGTAAAGGAAATCGCCCATTCTTAGTCCTCAGCCAAGCAGGGTACAAGTCGTTGTCAAGGAAATTTGAGAAAAAAACAGGAAAAAAACATGGACTGAAACAGTTGAAGAATAAGTACATGAGCTTAAAAAAAGAGTGGCAAGCGTGGACAAAGTTGATGGATTCAAGCAAGGGAGTGTCCGGGATAGGCTTTGACTATGACACCGGTTTGTTTCAGGTACCTGACGAGTGGTGGGACAAAATGGAATCAGTAAGTACATGTACAAACAAGTTTCATATCTGTCATTTACCAGTACATTTTTTACTTCTTCATTTAACTGCAATACAATTTATTTATATGAAATATAACGTCTGCCTCTTTTATACATCTATATTTCTGCAGATCAACAAGGCGTGTGCGAAGTTCAGGAAAAAATTTTTGGAACACCGTGACTTGATGGAGACGGTTTTCATGGGGGCATCAGCTACTGGGAAGCACCATTGGACCCCGGGAGAGACCCTTCCTGAAGCTGATGAGGACTCATTTGATTCAGTGCGTAGTTTGGAAGCCCAGCCATTTGCTGATCCGATATCCGCAGGAGCATAGGACGTGGATTCTGATTCTTCACTCGAGCATGTTCCGATTGAAAAGCCAAAAAGGAGAAAGACGCCATCAACAAGTGTTTCAAAGTCGAAGAAGGCAACAAGTGGTGCGTCTGTTATTGTGGAAAGCATGAACAGAATGACAGATGTGGTTCGTTCGAAGAATCAGCAGGTCACGGTTAGGCACCTCACAGGCAACGAATCGCCCTACACTATTTCTGAGTGCATGCATAAACTGAGCAGTATTCTATCCCTGATTGGTACGCCATTATTCCACTTCGCCTCTACACTTATGGATAACGCCGATTACTGGGAGATCATGATGTGCCAGCCTAATGACGACCACATCATTGGATGGCTTACACAGAAGCAGTTCCAGTGTACTGCGTCGGCGCCTTTTGCAAACCTGTTTGGGGGTCGCCGGATGTGATGTAGCGGTGTTACGAGTGTTTAAGATACATGTCCTTGTCTTCCTTTTTAAAACTTTCACTTATGGTATTGTTGGCAATGTACTAAAACATGATGGTGTTGTGTGAATGTTTTCATTCTGTCGTTTTTGTTTTTTTCTTGCTAGCTACGGGCAGCAACAAGTTTTAGGTAAGTGCATGGGTTGACGGACCGGAAGCATGGTTGTGCTTCATTTTTGGGAAATGAATGGGATGTTTTTGTTTTAATATTTTGTGTGGCTACGTTTAAGACAGGGAATTACGTTTTACTTGCACGCTTTTGAATGCCTATATGTTGCAAGTTCATTTGTTAGTGTAGTTTGCTGGCTAGTTTTGTGGTTGTTACCACCATGGCTCCCCTGTAAAGCATAAGTTGAACATCTTAATTTTTTGTGCAATTCATATAAGCATGCGTTCCAAATGACATTGGTGATGGCATTGCTTTGATTAAAAACAATGTCGCCATTTTTAATTGCAAACTTCAATATAATTTAAGTCAATGAATCACGTGCCAACTGATTGAAAGGCTGCCACTTTTGTAAGTTTCGCATGAACGAAGACGTGATGAATCCCTGGGATGGAAGCAACCATGATGAAATAACGGAAATGC